GGTGATGTATGTAGGTGTGTGTAGATGTAGGTGATGTACATATGGAGTCTTCACAAATCAGGTTTCTGTCTGCCGTATAAATATGGCAATCCAATAAGCACCCAAAATATCCACAAGAGAAATAAAGTAACTGGGAAGGGGAAAAAAAAGCCCAACACACACACACACACACACACACACACACACACTTCTGACTCAGATTAAAACCCATGGTATCAGATTAAGAGGTATTTTGAACAGAACAGTTGAAGATGTTTCCCTGGGCATTTCTAAAACAATTAATGGTGAATATCAGGGAGGATTTTGAATAGGGATATATCACTCCAGAGCTACCTGGTTCAGTTCCCTCCCTATATATAGTATACAGCATCCACTTCTGCCACTTAGAAACAGGATTCTGGGCTAAATGGACTATTGGTCTGACATAGTTTGGCACTGGCACATCTTATGTTCACTTTTTTATATCAGAGTTAAGAACGACAGCCCAGAATATGAGGAAGAGATATAGAAAATACGGGAAACCTCCCAGTGAGTCAATATATCCAAAAACATATCTGGAATCTGTATTTCCCTAACAAATTTGTTTATATATCATCTGTTTACATCTATAACGTACCTATGTATATAAAGAAAGATGCAAGACAGAATTTAACTGTGGGATCTAGAATTATTTTGCTAGAGTGGTCAAAGTACACAATCAGAAATATTTGTTCTAGTAGCTGTGGAAGCTGCTTACTTAATTTCAGCTTCAAACACTGGCAAGCTCTTACCCGCTAATCAGGACCTGGACAAACAACTATTCACCGAGGCCCCCCAGGGGAGGACAAGAGATAATGGGCACAAACTGATTGACGATCACTTCAGGCTAGAGATAAGGAAAAACTTCTTTATAAGTCGAGTGCCGGGGGTTTGGAACAAGTGCCCCCCAGAGATGGTAAAGTCACCCACCCTGGAAATCTTCAAAAAACTTCTTGATGCCCATCTTGCTGGGGTCATCTGATCCCAGCAGTCTTTCCTACCCAAGTGCAGGGGGGCTGGACCTGATGATCTGTAAGGTCCCATCCAGCACCTAACATCTATCAAACTATTATACTTCCTCATGGCGGTAAGACATTGGCTAGTAAATCAGTGCCAATAACCACTTAGATATTATGGCTAAGTAATTAAAGCTCTAAAGCTGAGGAGTGATTTGAGAGATACATGAGCCCTGCAAACCTCCAGCCTCTATTTTTTCAGGGGGGAAAAACTGCTTTAGTGTGGATGAGAGGCATAACTAGCAATTTTGGCACCGTGGGCAGAGATGCCAGAGAGTGGTAGATGGGATCTACCTGCTTTGGATGCTGCTGATGCTCTGCAAGGTCCCCAAGGGCTGCCAATCTAAAGAACTTTAAACTGGCATCTTGGGCTGGCACCGCACTTGCTCTGCCATAGTTATGACAACTCTTTAAATTTAACTTGGAAGATAAATTTTCCGTGCAGGACAAGCTGGTAAACCTTTGTCCAATTACTTCACTGATTTGTATGAGTCTAAACCCATACAAAACAATATAAACTGAAAGTATCTAATCAAAGTTTTCAGTTTAAATGAATGGGCAACATCCCTTTAAATGAAATATAGTTGACTCCACATGCTGAACACTCTGGAAAAATAACTCCCGAGTCTGGGCTTAAATAAAGCAGGTTGCCTTGGTTTGGGATATGTAAATACATATAGAGAATCCACACAGCAGCTCTGGTTTCCCTCTTCTTTGCATCGCCTTTGGCAGTTCTCGCAGACCTCTGGAAGCTCAGATCATGCTAGGTTAAGTATATGCACTCGAGTCGCTCCTTAGTTTCCTTCCTACTGCATCAAACCTAACAATTGCTTGCGTTCATGTGCCTTGCCTCTGTATGCTGGCTCCTTGCTTTAAATAAAAACCACCATCTTATTGGGTTTTATGAATCTACTGTGTATGTGGGTCTTTATAGTGAAGAGAAGTAGAGCTGTAAGGGACCTCCAAAGGTCATCTAGTCCAACCCCCTGCCTGAAGCAGGATCATCCCTATCCAAACCATCCCATGTAACCATAATCTTAACTCTACATAAGACTATCCTCAACCCGGATACAATGTAGACCTAACACCCTAACCTGCCACGGGTGAAGCAGGGGAACAAGAGGTCCTGGGTAGAGGGCCACACGCCCCACTACAGAGGAAGGCAAAACCCCCCACAGCCTATCCCAATCTGACCATGAGGTAGCATTTCTTCCTGACCCCAATTATGGGGAGCAGTCTGACCTTGAGCAAAGGGGCAAGACCCTCTAGCCAGGAACCTCTGGGCTTTGCTCCTAGCAGGAGAATCGGCACACCCCAACTGAAGTCTCCAGCCTTAACTGTAACCAGCACCCAATGCCTCTGTGGAAGCTAAAAACCCCCTAATGCAGAACAGAAAAAAGGGGGGGGGGGGACAGGAGCAGCCAGAAAAGCCCAGAAGCATAGGAAATATCTATGGCAGAAAAGAGGCATAGCTACAACTTGATACTCCCTGACCAGTGGGTGTCCAACTTCTTCTTGAACACGTCCAGTCATGGGGAGTCCACAGCTTCCCTAGGCACTCTATTCCATTGCCTCACTATTCTCACAGGACATACATTTTCCAGATATCCAATCTAAATGTACTTTGCTGCAACTTCAAGCTAGAGGTAATATTCAGAGATAAATACTTCAAAAAAATGCAATTAATGGGGTTTCAATATCCCGTCCCATGCTTAAAATTGAGCATGCATTAATGCTTTGCTGAATTGCAGCCTTCCCAAGGAAAGTTTCTATCCTTTAGTATCTTGCTGATACTTATTTAATACTTAAATGTATCATTTCCTGCTACTTGAGTTCTGTGGAGCTTCCCTGAATTCTTTTATAAAATGTTTCTTTGGACAAAACCCCAAAAAACACCACAGTATCTATCTTGCATGCTTTTTCATGAATGCAAAGAACAAGACCAAGAAAATAATTTTAGTATAAAATGGCAGAAGTACATCTATTGTCTAAATGCTTTCTATGCCACTAACAAAACAAGATAAATCAATGAAATTTAATGTAATTATGCATGGAGCTAAGATCCCAGCTCCCCTTGGATATCTAAGTGATAACCAAACATCTCTGACGTGGATCAGGAGTCAGAAATTATGGCTTTCTGTAGCCTACTCCACATTCAACTAAAAAAAAAAATTAAGTAACACATTTAAAAGATCAATATTGTTTTATTTGCATTGCAAGCAGGGCCATATGTGACAAATGCATGTATTTGGAACAGAGTGAATCACAATATCTCAAAATTGCCTAAAACAGCGTAAATGAATTAGCCAAGTGACCTTTGCCTAGATCCATGTTACTTCCCCTGGATCTGAACTTACTTACAAAAAGGAAAAAACTGGACCAGAAGGACAGCCCTGGGAAGACTCACCAACCCTTGCTTGTAAAAAATTATTTATTTACAAAGAGGTAAGGATTTCTGTGGGTTATATCTTTTACTGGACTAGCTACATGGCCCAGATAGACTTAGACGTGCTTTTGAATGCAGTTCATTCTTAATATTCATACATTAATATATATTAATTCAATAAAGAAATTCATATATATTAATTAAAGAATGAACAGCATTCAAAAGCATGTCTATTTCTATCTGGACCATATATATTTACTCTCCAAAATATGTGTGAGCTCCCATCACCAGATACTGTGAAAGCAAGTGCAGAGAGCAGAGCATAAGAAGGAAACAAAGCGCATGAGAAGCATACAAATATCAGGGGAAAAAAAGACATGTAAGGAAAACAGTCTAAAAAGGGGGGCGAAGGGGAGAGCCCAAGCCCAACAGAAGGAGGCTTTCCCAGTGCAGTGGCGCAGGCAGTACCAGCCCCTCCTTTCTGGGTGCTTCCACTGCAGCGTCATTATGGCTGTCTCACAGAAACCTGTCACACACACACACATATATGTATTTGTGCATGCAATAGATAGATAGATATAGCTATAGTCTAGTCTGTATGTATGCACTCAGACTGCATTAAAAAACATGTCTAAGTCTATCCCAGCTGCACCGCACTATTATATATTAGTGGCTGTGTGTATGCACTTATACATATAAGTGTGTGTACATAGATACCTGTGTACATACATATGTGTGTATGTATCTATATATCTATCTATTTACATATCTTTATCTATATAGGTCTAGATAGATAGGTATAATACACACACACTTTGGGGGGGAAATGATATATATCATTTGATGTAGGATAGGTATATATAAATTTGCCCCTCCCCAAAGTGCACGTGTGTATTATAGATACCTATCTATCTATCTATCTAGGTCTATGTAACTATATCTAGATAGATAGATATGCCATCATTGCATCTATCTGTCTGTCCATCTATCTATCTAGGTCTAGATAGATAGATGGACAGACAGATAGATGCAATGATGGCATTGTCTAAATAGGTCTAGATAGATAGATAGATACGATGGCATATAGATATATAGAGATATATAGATAGATATATAGAGAGATATAGATAGATATAATACACATGCACTTTGGGGGGGAATTATATATATCATTTGATATATGATAGGTATGTATACCTCCCCAGTGCATCTATCTGGATAGATAGATAGGTAGATGACATATCTATCTATCTCTATATAGGTATCTCTCTCTCCAGACAGATACAGATAGATACAAGACACACACGCCGTGGGGGGCGAATGCGACGTGTCAGTCGCTGTGCGCTGGGGGTATCTAAAGGCGCCCCAGCGTGCGCGTGCCCCATCGCACCGGGGACCCGGCGGGGCGGGGCGGGGCGGGCGCAGGTGGCGGG